TAAAGGAACAATACCTTGTTCTTTGATCCAGTTACTCTTCCCTTTGAGCCTCAATTTTCCCTTCTATAGAAGCCTATGGATTATTTAGAGTAGAATCACTAAGAGTGCCTTCTCATCCAAATAGGTCATGGCTACAGGGGAGCATGGCCAGAAATGCTTAGTGCCCCCTGGGCTCTGGGCTCCCTGCCCCACTGCCCCCTGCTCAAATTCCCACTCTGGGCTCGCGCCTGCACTCATGGAGCAGGGCCTCACTCAGCCCCCCACATAGTCTGGGCAGCTGTACCCTCAGAACCAGGCTCTGAGGCTGGGCAGAGGGCACAGCTGTTGGGCATCTCTGAGGTGGATTTCAGCTGCCAGGGGTGTGGAGAAAGACCATTGTGAGTCCTGTCACTGACCCTGCTCAGTGGGGCCCTGCCAACTCCCGCCACTGCCCACAGTGGAGGGGGGACTGTTTTCCTGTGGGTCAGTGTGGTGGGGGGCCTCTTCACTGGTTTGCATAGGAGCTAGCTGGCTGTAGCCCGCATACCCAGGGCTTCCACTGAGCTGGTGTACCCTTGGCTGAGCCCACCGGGTCTAAGAGGTCAGCATGAGCAGTAGCTGACCCCCCTTCCCTTTCCCCCATTCTCAGCCCCCAAAACTTGCTGCTGCAGCTGCAGCACTGAGGAAGTGCAGGAGGATGTCCTGAGCAGGCAGCTGAGCCCCCCGCCCACCCCCCCCAACCTCTCATTGACCCCAGAGGCAGGGCGGGCGGGGCGAGAGGCGGGGTTTGAGTATTAACAACTGGAAAAGTATGAAGCTCATCACTGCCAGTTCCCAGCTCTGAAAAAAGAGGCTGTGACAGAGACAAGAACAGGGGTAGACAGGGGTAGCGACTGGGGGAGAGTTCCAGACTGTCAGAGAAACAAGCTGAGGGAGAATCAGACACAGCAAGACAGAGCAAAAGAGAGACAGCATTAGAGAGAAATTCCAAGTCAAAAATACACATCACTCAACCAGACACTCACCAGCACACGGCCTCCTAAGGAAGGCTTCCAAGTTTAGACGGGAGGGCAGAGGTGGGAAAAGGGGCCAGACTCATGATGGGAGGCAGGAACTCCGCCCAGGGGGCAAGTCAATGGTCCCAGGAAGGGCTCAGACATATGACCCCAACAGGAGCTGCTAGAGCCCACATTTGCTTTTAAGGTGGCATTAGGGACTGCTCCCTAAAAGCTGGCTCTCCCCAACTGCCTCTCCCCCTACACACACACACACACACACACACACACACACAC